TTTTTCTTAACAATTCCTAAAGGAGAAATTCCTCCATTTTTCTTAGAACATACAGGTGCCATATGAATGCCAAAGTACAGATTTGTTCTCATTATGCTCGTCATGACAGAAATTAAAAATGTGCGGATCACAAGCTGGAAGTAACAGTGATATTTATTTTTATTCATTCATTCAATTTAGACACTATCCTACTCCAACTGATTTAGGTTGCTCACAGTATAAAGCAAAATAAAAATTCAAAAAACTTCGTCTTCCACGAATTCATCCAAGCCCTTTTAAAGCCAAATTAGTGACCATTACTACCTTCAGCGTAATGAATCCCAGCAATTAATTTTGCACTATGTGAAGAAATTATTGTCTATTCAAAATTTCTTCCAACTTCTTGGCCTAGTATCTAGACCTAGTACCTAGACGGAGGGTGGGCAAAATCCCTCCCAACATTTGAAGAAGTACATAGGAATGAGGGAGTGACTGTCCCACCATTAGAGAGTGATTAAACTTCAATCCCATCTATTCTCATGTTCTCACCAATTTTCTAAACTAAAAAGTTCCACAGGAACTCCAACATGTTCAACCCCCTTTGGTTACCCTCTTCTGTGTTTTTTTCTAGCTCCTCACTACTGAAATCCCCGATGTTCTTGTTTTCTTGAGTTGAACTCCATATGCTGAGAGTGCCATTGTGGTATATTTTGTATGCATAGAAATATGCAATATATAGCAATTAAATATACAGTATATCCCACCTTATAGCATATAATAGTGGAAGCAGAGTAGCATTTCCCAATCTACTGCTCTCCAGATGTATTGGAGTACAATTTATATCATCAGCCAGCCAGCAAGTCCATTAGGAAAGATTACAGGTAATACCGATAAGAATATTTGTAGGTCACAATCAGTGGTGTGGTAATGATTCTACTTAGCTTGGTAATGAAATATCCGCAAGAAAACAATCGAAGTCAGAGAGCACCAGGGAGCTGCAATTACAGGTAGTCTCTCATTTACAACCGTAATGGAAATTGCCCATTATAAAACACGATGGTTGTAAAGTAGATCATCATGTGTTCAGACCTGATTTTCTGACATTTACTGAAATTGTAAAATTAATACCAAGGTCATTAAGTGAACTCCATGGCCGCTAAGTGAACCAGTTGTTCACGGTGGGCTGTTTTTGCCAAATGATCATAAGCCAAGGATTACTTGTAAAATAAAGGATCTCTGAACATATAAATGATCTTGGAACCTGGGAACACAAATTGTTGGCTCTCTTATCTTTTTTACTGAAGTTTTCCAGAAGAATTGTACCTCATACAATTGTTGGTGCATTGCTATCTGGGCTACTCGGTTAAAGCAGCAGATACAGATAGTCTTTGATTTACAACTATTTGTTTAGCCTCCATTTAAAGTTACAACAGGACTGAGAAAAGTGACTTATATTCCTTCTCCCCCCCACCCACCCCCTGACGGACGGATGGACGGGGGGGGGGGGGGGAGAGAAGAGAGACAGAGGAGAGGGGGGGAGGGAAAGAGAGAGAGAGAGAGAGAGAGACAAGAAACAGAGAGAGATGAAAGGGGGAGAAAGAAAGAAAAAAGAAAAAGAAGTGAAAGAGAGAGAGAGAAAGAGACAGAGAGAGATACCTGTTTAAAAGAAAATAGAAAAACGGCTCTTTGAGTGTTTAAGGTTGCAGATCCTGGGTTAGGTAAACACCATGGTCATTAAATGAACCTTGTGGTCACTAAGCAAACACTGGTTATTTAGCAAGTCCATTTTCCCCAATGGGCATTTTTAACTGGAAACCAGAAGGAATTGTTGGGAACTGGCAAAAAACATAGAAAACCTCAGTCACAAGACTGTGTGGGATGTTGTAATTGGTCTTAAGTGTGTGTGTGTGTGTGCGCACGCGTGCATTACTGTCAAAATACCAGAAACAGGTCAAGTAGCTCTGGGGAAGTCAGTGTAAATTAGAACACTTGCTAAGCAACTGGCCATTAAGCGAGGATCACTTATATTTGGTTTGCCAGTCACATGGCCCACCTAGCCACGCCCACCCATCACATGACCCACCTAGCCACGCCCAGTCAGCTACATGACCACCAGGCCACTCCCACCCAGTCATATGCCCACCAGGCCATGCCCACAAATTAGGCCACCCCCACAGAACCGGTTGTTAAGAAATTTGAATCCCACCTCTGGGCTATTGAGGTTCAGCAAACTGTTAAGAAAGAAAACAAAACAGTCACTGGGAAAGAAAGAGAGATACACTAATAGAAAAGTGTGTTTATTGTCTTTTAAACTTCCAAATGCAGAGTATGGAAACCCTGAAGATGCAGCAAATCAATGATATCTGCCAATGAGGAGGAAAAGGCAACATAGTGTATGGCTAAGACAGCTGAAATAGGCTATGATTCCAGAATGGCAGCATTTTCCAATTTCCTGCATCTCTCTCCTTTGAGAGTAAATACATATAAAAACCCACTTTGGGGCAGGATTTTAAACCAATGATTCCTGAGTAGCATATTAAATGCCTTGAGAGCCTCTGAATACAAATATTCCACCCTTACATCTCAAGAGGTACACTGGATTTTTCCAAATGCAAATTACATTTAAGACAAGGTTATTGTCAAAAATGTATTCTGGAAAGAAGTAGTCTGAATGTATTCTGGCCTGAAAAATGCAATTACAGAGATAGGAAAAGCTGTATAAACATTATTATGAACATGTATCTAGATCATATAGTCAACTGACAGAAAACCGGATTCAAGAGTGGAGGTGGCTAAGCGTGTATTATGGCAGCCAACTGCTTTGATTGAGTTTCTAGTGCCTCTAGTAACATAATCTACCAATGAGGGGAGGAAAAATCATATTTGTTAGGCAGCAACCTCCTCTAGAGGCGAACATTTTGAAGCACTTCAATGTATGAGAAAAGCCCTTCTTCTATTCCTGCAGTCTTCAGTATCATAATCTTGTTTGATCCAAATTATGTAATTCCCAAACTCCCTGTTTCCACCCAGTGTCATTCATTTTTCATCTCATTCCCCACAGTTTCATTACTCACACAGAAATAAATCTGGGCTATGATCTGAGGTTCTATGTCTATGCTCTTGGTAGAATATCCTTAAATATCACATTTCGATTCTTACTATGTTACAGAGCCCGATTATGACATCGAACATGTAAACAAGCTAAATTCACTACTAACATGGGCAGCATCCTGCCCACACGCTTTCATCTTTCTTGGTGACTTCAATCTACCTCATATTAATTGGACCCTAAACAAATGTACAACTGAACCCATACATGCAACCTTCTACAATGCTGTAACAAATCTGGGACTGGAACAACTAGTAACCAACAATACTAGGCTTAACTGCCTCGATCTCATTTTCTGCAATAGTTCGAATTCAATTTATGGAATACAAATTAAAGAACCCTTTTCCAACAGTGACCACAATATGATTGACTTTTGCCTCAACATACGTCCACACAAAAATCATCACAATGACGTAATCCCCAATTATAACTTCAAAAAAGGCAACTATGATCTTATAGACAACTATCTCTCATCCCTTGATTGGCAATCTCTATTCACTGGATGCAATACTGTTGAAGACCATTACAACATATTTTTACTTGAAGTCAAAAGAGTCATCAAACTATATGTACCAATAACAACTCCCCCCCACCCCAAAAAAAAACAGATTACCCATAATAATAAGGAAACTTCAATCCAAAAAGAGATCACTCTGGCAGAAAAACAAATCTGGTCACGTTGCCAACTTCAAAAGCCGATACAAAAATTTATGCCACCAGATAAAGACTGAATGCACCAATTATCACATTAAACAAGAGGAAAACATTCTATGCACCAATTCCACCCGCACTTTTTACAATTTTGTAAACAACAAACTAAAAGACTCAAGGTCCATCCCACCCAATAGGACCTAATGGTAAAGACTGCAACGACAACACCATTAAAGCCAACCTCTTTAACACATTCTTTGGCTCAGTATTTGTAAACAGCAATGGATCATGGCCAGTATTTCCTAGCCGAACCACAGAAAACTACAATGATCTAATACATATCGATTTTACAGAAGACAATGTTGAAAAAGCACTATGCAATCTAAAACCATCTCTATCTATTGGACCGGACGGAATATGTGTCTTACATATTGGCAAAAAAATCAGAAAATAAAATACAGGATGAATAGTCAAGACCTTGTTGATGATCCAAGCTCTGTAAAGGACCTTGGAGTACTCATCTCTAATGATCTAAGTGCTAACTACATAGCCAAAAAGGCATTAAGAGTTGTTAAACTAATCTTACGTAGCTTTTTCTCTGGTAATATTACGCTACTAACTAGAGCATACTAAACATTTGCTAGACCAATACTCGAATACAGCTCATCAGTCTGGAACCCACATTACGTATCTGATATTAGCACAGTTGAGAAAGTCCAGAAATATTTCACAAGAAGAGTTCTCCACTCCTCTACTTGTTGTAGAATACCTTATGCCACCAGACTTGAAATTCTAGACCTAGAAAACCTAGAACTATGCTATCTTCGGTCCAATCTAAGTATGGTATATAAAATCATATATTGCAATGTTCTACCTGTCAATGAATACTTCAGTTTCAACCGTAACAATACAAGAGCACACAACAGATACAAACTCAAGGTTAACCGCACCAAACTTGATTGCAGGAAATACGACTTCAGCAACAGAGTGGTCAATGTCTGAAATACTCTACCTGACTCTGTGGTTTCTTCCCCAAACCCCCAAAACTTTAACCTTAAGACAGTCTACTATTGACCTCACCCTTTTCCTAAGAGGTCTATAGGGGGCGTGCATAAGCGCACCAATGTGCCTGTCCTATTGTTTCTTTTATTTTTCTTATATGTACCCATTTCATGTATTCATAACTATGTATATACTTATACCTATTATCTTTTAAGTGATTGACAAATCAAAATAAATAAATAAATAAATAAAATAAAAGTGACGGGTTCAAGGACTTCTCACTCTTACCTGCATCATTAAGTCTCATCTCCCATAATGGCCCCAATTTTGCCTGGATTTTGGCATATTCCAGGTTTTTAACATATTCCCAGCATTTTCCTTTCACTTCCGTTCCCCACTTTTAACCTTCCTCCAAAAGAAAATATTTTAAAATGAGTTAAAATTAGCCTTAAAAGTGGAGTTTCCAAAATTTAGGGATGGGGACAGATGAGTTAAGGGCCTTCCAATCCCTCACATCCTTTTTTTGAAAAAAGCATAAAGCCATAGCCCGCAAATTCACTCCATCATTTTCCGTCATAGAACAGGCATATAATTTTAAAAATCATGAGGCAGAGATGCAATCATCTACCATTTCAAATATTGCCCATTCCTAATTAGTTCCAGTACCACAAATTTGAGGCATCTAAATCCAGGAAAATTATATCCAAATTTCTTTTCCTCCACTTGCAGCCAGTTGGAATCCAACTCTAAATACTCTGCCCTATAGGAACTTAACACGAAATCAGACTTTCCTTTTACCAAACAGTTTCAGCAGTAAATATTCCTCGATTTTAGGTGATTCACTAAATATATAAATACTGGGGGTCTCTTCACTCCTAAAGCCACTATGAATAAAACAATATTTTACCCAATTGGTCATTGTTTGGACTTCATGCTTGTCTGGAAGAATATAATACAGCTTCAGGAATGTGCTCATACAAGTAGAATAGAAGTTCGCCAATGTGAACAGATTTTACCATTTAACTTAGCCTCTTTGAGAATTATCAGGGTTCACAAGCCCCACTTGATATAAAAAAAACTACATATTCTATGAAAAACCACCACTAGCATAGTCATAGTCTTGAATCCAGAGTTAAAATATCTCTGTCTACTCAACCCAGGAGTGTTGTTCCAGAAGCATACCAAATGGAAATTTTGTTCAATTTTTCTTCAAGTTTCTGAATGACTGGAAATAAAAGTCTAAATCAATTCAACTAGGGGACACCAAAACCCTGAACCATGGCGGATGTAATTAAAGACCTTAATCTTTTCCTTTCTATTGCTCAAGAAATAGGACAGCTGTTGAACTGTCCTTGACAAAAATAAAATTTAAAAAAAATAGAAATAACCCCACATTATAAAGAAAGGATATAAGTTCGATCAGCTGCCAGCGGAAAGGAGCAAAGAGTTTCATCAATGCAGTAAAACCAAAAATAAATAAGCAATTTATCAAAATCATCCCAGTTCCTTCTCCGGATGTCTTCTCCTCTCCTTGGCCTGAAATCAAGCGTAGTTCCTCAAGTCCCCTGAGTTATGCTCAGCCATCTGTGGCCAAAATGATGGAAGCCCCAAAAATCCCAACGTTCTGGCCAATCAACTTCATTTGATTCCAGAATTCAACTCTGCGGGAATCGTGCCAGTAACCAAGATTGCCATCAATGAAGAGGATGACCAGAGGGAGAATTACCGACAGGATCTGAGCAGCTGTGGTGATGTAATAACCAGATAGAAAGGACAGAGCAAGGACACCATAGAGAACAAAGAGAAGTTGTAGGAGGATCTCCCCACCCAGGATACCACCAAGATAGGCCAGGCGATCTTCTTTGCTGTGCTGAAGAGAGTAGGCCTAAAAATAATAAATTGGAATGTTGGTTTACAGCAATCTTTAGCCTAACAATTCTATAACTTATGCCTATTGGGAGATGAATATAAACTTCCATGCAGTTTCTATTTCTCCAATTGCTGCTGTTAGGAAATCCACACTGGATGTATTAAACTCCAAGTGGGACATGAATCTATCTTTTTATTGTTCGCATCAGATTGTTTTTTCCGGCTTAGACCTGTTCATGGCTTTCTTTGGCTTTCTCCCACAGTTGGTTGATTACATTCTTCAAGATATACAACTGAATCCTGCTCAATTTCAACTAAAGACAATTTTGGAAGAAATTACAGAAATGATTTTGGAAATTAATTATTCATTATTTATAATTTTGGATATTAATTATTTGATCCTTTATTCTAGAAGTTTATTCACTCTCTTCTTAGAATGTAGGATGTAGGATCTCAAAAAAATGGGAGGAGCGTCCTAGCCTCCCATCCAAACGTTTCCAATAGAAATACAATATCCCTCACTCATCTCGCTCCTTTTCCTCTGCCCCCTTGGCTGCCCTCCATTCTGTCACCTTGCATTCCTCCACCCCTGCTTTCTCCTACTGCTGACGAGATAACCAGCCAAGGTACCTGCTGGCCTTTCACAACACTTTGCATCTTGTGCTCCACACACAGTGATCCCTAGCTGACCTTCGCTGTTTCTCCTGCTATTGGTCCTATAAAACAGCTTTTGTGAGGCTTCCATGGCAAAGGTCAGCTGGGGAGGCAGAAGATGATGACAGAAGGCAGAGCGGCCAAAAAGGCAGATATGGAGGGGTGGGAAGGTGGAATAGTTGGGTTGAAGAGAGGCAAATGTGAGAGGGTGGAATATCCTCATTTGCTGAAGAGCGTTTACCAGGTCCAGCTGGGGATGAGACAGCAGGACAAAGCTGGCAATTTGTGGAGGGGAGAAGCAATACAGCCGCAACTAGGACCTATCAGAATTGCCATTGCAGTCACATGTTTCACCTAGTGACTGCTTCACTTAGTGATGGAAATTCTGATCTTAATAAGGGTCAATAAACAAGGACTACTCATATACAAATAATGCTCCCTGTTTATGTAACACAAAGCTTGGTGGTTTTGTATGAAGTTTGTTGAGTTCTAGGTGCTCTCTAAGCTTAATTGTTGGCTAGCAGATATTTTATTACTTGCACTGATGGTATTATTTAATTTGAAATGAAATATATGCAAATAAACAATCAATTTCATATATTGGAGTTCAGAGAACTCCAAAACTCCACAATTCAACCTCGAGCTACGAATACTATATTCTATTGGAATATAGCATTTATTGTACTTTAATAGCATTTGCAGAATTTTAAAATTATATTTTTAAGAAATAAATGTAAGCTCCAAGCCTCTGCCTATGTTTGTGTATATTTACATAAGAGCACTTGTGAGACAGTTCACCATCTGCAAGGACTGCTGATCTCTGATCTGATCCCTGACTTATGGTGCACGTAATATGTCCGCAATCTGTCTCATTACTATTTTTTAATCCCATAGCAGCAAACTAAGTAAGAGAGGATGGAAAAGAGAGGGTCAATTCAGACCTTTTTCATGTACATACCACACAAATGAGGTAGATTCCAATGAAAACTTGCCCAGTAGACTGCAGTGATCTGTTTCGTGGTTTCTGGCGGTAGATCTCACCAGCGCCACTTGCCAAGATCAGAAATCCCCCTATGATGGCTATTGTTCGTGAATACATTCTCACCTATGTCATGCAAAGTAAACAAAATGTGCCAATTAATAAAAACAGAAATGCCTGTTTTTTTATTAACCTCCCCCCCATCCCCTAAACACTATAATTTTTTCATGTTGGAACATCCTCTATATATCCATTTCTGAAGAAATAACTTTACCTGAGTTTGTACTGACAATTTTCCTTGAGAGATGAAAAGTGGCTGCCTAAATTTGGGCACACAAATTGTAGGTTATATATTTGTCATCCATTCTTTTCATGGCACAGGGATAATTTTCCACTAACCATACTTCATTATGTTCAATTAGAAATATCACCTATCAAGTTTAAATATATGAGGATTTGGATATAAAGGGAAATGACAATTAACAAAAAGTGTGAGCATCAATAGAACTAAATTTAGGCATATTATATGTTAAGTCAAGTTCTGTTTGATAACGGAAGACACCAAATAAAAAATAATTATGAAGCTGAAAACAATTAATTAATCAGCGTTTACCTGATCAATATAATCACAGCCAGTAATGTTTCTGTAGAGCCTTGGGGTAGGGAACAATCTTATACATTTATTTATTAATTCAATTTGGACACAACATGACTCCAACTGCTTTGGACACTTCACAAATAATAGCATAAAAAACACTAAAACAAGAAGATATCATCTGGGGACAAAAATGAACGCAAAATAAAAGTAACCAACATGCCCAAGGGACCCCATCTGTCTCACATCAAGACCTAGGAGAACAAGCAATCTTCAAGGCTTTACAGAACACTAACAGGATGACAGCCATGTGCTTTCAGGCAGGGTCTTATTCAAAAGGGCAGGCAGGGCATCAGAGAACGTACTCTTACTGAGTACTGACAGATGAGATTGTTTAAGAAGGGATGCAGAGCACACCAATTCTGCTAATATGTACAGCCAAGCAGAATTTATGGGAGACAGAGTCTTTCACCTAACTTATTATATGTAGAGTATTTTGGTAATAATCAGCACTGACTCACACTAGGAAGCATATTGGCAACTGGGGCATCTGGGGCAGTAGAGGTGTCACATGGACACACTGAAGAACGACCATTACTGCCTGAACGGCTCTATTCTGGACCAGCTGAAGATCAAATGGTTTTCAAGGGTGGCTTTATGTAGAGCACACTGCAGTTGTTGAGCCCTGAGGCTACTGTCTGAAGGGCTTCGCTTCCCAACCTAGGAAAGAGTACAACTGGTGTATCAGAAGGAGCTGAGGAAAGAGCCACATTTGCTGCCTTCACAAGAAGAAGTATGACTCCAAGAAATCTCCAGATTGAACATACTCTTGAACAGGAAAGTTCTACCCCATCTGCTAAGAGTATGCACGGAAAGTCCTAGGATCTAAGAATATAATATCTCTAATATCTACAGGCTTGGTAGGATTGAGTGACAGTCAGTTCCTCCCCATCCAGATATTGAGACCCAATAGGGAGAGATACTTAAGCCACCAAATATTGTCAGAGGAAAACTTGTATGTTCATTCTTTTTCATTGACTGATAAGAGATATAATCCAATTATTCCTGGAGATATTCTCACCTCTATAAAATTATTCCAGCATATATGCTATTTGTCTGTCTCTACCTAGCTATTAGCTATCAAATTTAGAAACTGCCAATCCTGCTTACAGAGCAATTTAACTGCAAAGGCATATTTTAGAAGATCTTATTTTGCTAATACTGAAAGATGCTACACGTGAAACAACAGAATCTAATCAAAGGGAAAATGCCAATACCCACCCACCATCCATTTTGAGCCCAAGTTAATTCTGCCATACAGCAATATGACCAGACTTTGAATGCCAAAAATGGAGCAGATAATTGTCTCACCTTCAGCCAGTCCGCATAATGTGCATAACCTCCAACATATGCTGCATAGGTGCTGATAGCCAACTGGAGAGCAGCCCCCAGAGCAAACCATCGGCGTTTCACACCAAAGGACATAAAGCTGGCACACAAAACCGCTGCACCCATATCAAAGTAGAGAAATGGGACAGGGATGTCTGGTTTCCTGTATAAGGAAAAAGGAGTAGAAAATTACTCCCTAAGAAATGAAAGAAATGAACACACATAAGAGAGTGGTACATGTGCAGAACCTGGCATTACTTTCCAAAGAATTTCCAAGCCCCACTTGGAATTGACAACATTTCTGTACTTTTTTGTTAAAAGAAAACCCCTACCCAATAAGCACTAAACTATCTGCGCTCCCTAATGCTTAATGCTGAATTCCCAGTACTATAATTTTCAAACATATTTAGGATTTACCTAAATATGTTTGAAAATTATAGTACTGGGAATTCAGCATTAAGCATTAGGGAGCACAGACAGTTACAAAGGTTAAGAAATTCATTATTAAAAATCACTACCATGAAGCCCTTGACACAGGCTTTAAGAAGAGAGAAAATAATACTCTAACCATGAGCTAAACATTTCTGAGCCTCATATCTCACCTTTCTTTGACATAATTTTTCTTTGATATCCTTTTATCAACATATCATTCTTTGCTCTATTAGTTTTATTTAATGGCATGTGTTTAGCAGTATATTTGGGGAGCTACATGATTGTTCAAGCATGCCTCACATAGACATATAAACAAGTGCAGGTGTGATCACCTGTGGCAACCAGGAATCATCTCTAAGCAACCTGACATAAAGAACTTTGGAAGTACAAGAAACAAAGTGTTGTTTTTCTTTCTGACTAGCAGCTATCACAACTTATAAGTAAGTACATATATATTTATTTTTATGGTATTCAGCTTTCAGAAAACAAATATTTATTTTTGTTTATACTGCTTTGCATTTTACCTATTCCCAAGTTCTAGGCAGCTGAGTTACAGATAAACAGCCTTTGTGGGTCAATCTGCAAGGCTACCATGAAAGACAGAAGATTACAATGAGCAAGGCATTAATAATCTATTCGAAACAGCAGTTTACCCACGCACTCTGCAAAAGAGAATTGACAGGAAATTTACTCTAAATTTGAGAGAACAAAGTAGCCTTCAGATGACAGTTAAAACAGTTAAGAGTCATCATGATTTGGAGAGCCATTAAAGAAAAAGTCAATTTGTATTATTATGATTGGTCAAACAGTCAGCCAGATGTGTATGTAGACTAGATATGGCATTTTGGTCCACCTATCGACTTGTTCCCAAGGACCTGGGGTAGGACCTGTTGTTATTTAGTTATAGATACTGTCACAAGACATAAGCTGTTCTAAGTAATGCTGCCTTTTCGGTTGACTAATGGTGAATCTGTCAATATGAATGATGCTCAAATTGTGCTCCTGTTGTTTTGGGACTGCACCCAAGGTACCTATTACTATTGGTATTATCTTTGCTTTCTATATCTTTATCATAGTTATCATCACCACCATCATGTCCCATTTCTGATGGGCTAGATAAGGTACAAAAATTCAAAAGATAATAAAAATAAATACAAATGGTTGCAGTAATATCAATAATTATCTATACCAGTGGTCATCAACTGATGGTTCGTGGACCACTGGTGGTCCACAAGAAAATTTTGGTGGTCCGCAGAAAAATTATTTGCATTTTTTATATTGCATTAAATCAGGGGTTCTCAAACTATCGCCCCAGAGCCAGATATGTGCAATGAATGAATGTATTGCTGCAGAGAATCTCTCCCTTCGGGGTCTTTTTGTGCGAGTCAGAGGGGGGCAGAAATTCTGACTTGGGGTCTGCTTCAATTTCCTGGTGCGGGGCTTGAGGCGAAGGCTGGAGGGAAGTGCTGCTGGTGGCAAAAAGCCAGAGGGCCTTGTTCCAGTGGGACTGCATCATGACCTGGAACTGGCTGACCATCTTAGCCCACTGAGCCTCCAGGCACCAGTACCTGGCCTCGCACTACTGCAGATCTTCCCTCTGCTTGGAAAGCCCATGCTCATAGTCCTCAGGGATGTGCTTCTGCTGAGCCTCCTCAGTCAGATCCAATTTGAACTGAGCCAGCTGCTTTGCCAACTCATTCTTGTGGTGGCTCTTTAGCTCCAATGCGAAATTGCTTCCTGTTGGGACGCAAAGGAGCCCAGGCAGGGAGGCAAGGAGTGGCTGGGAGGGGCAAGTAGAGGCTGGCAAGGCGCCCCTTGACGTGAGTGACATCGAGTTGGCCACACCCACCCAGTCACAGGAGCTACACCCACCCAGCCGGTCATTATGCAGATCATATTAGTGGTCCGCAGGATTTAAAATTATGAATTTAGTGGTCCCTGAGGTCTGAAAGATTGGAGACCCTGATCTATACAACATCATTGGTGTGTAGAAAAATTCATATATACAATGTGTCCTGGAGAGTGGAAGCCATTCACAGCTTCATGAGCAAGGTATTCTATAAAATAGCAGCTGCCACTGAGGTGGTTCTGACACTTGGTCACATCCTACATACTACTCAAGAAGAAAGACCTGCAACAGAATCCCCTCATGGCAATCAGTCCAAACAATTTTAGTCAGTTGCTGCCTGATTTATGGCTGTCTCCAGCCTCACTTCCAAAACAACAGGCTCTCCGTTGATCTAACAGAATAAAATTAAAATAGGTGCTGACAACAAATTTAGAGGAAACCAGCTGGATAAGGTTGTTCTAAATCAGTTTTCTCAAAGTGTTTTCTGAGGATTCTTGAAAGTCCCTGAAGATTTTCTCAGGAGTCTGCGAAATCAAAATTATTTGATAGCTTCTGCTGAAGATAATACAACATTAAAATCAAACAACTGTGAGAAGCAGTAGCCCCAGCAAACACATCAAGGTTAATTGTTAATACTGCACATATTGATAACTATAACCCACGCTAACAAAAGTTCTTTTAGAGTCCTTCCAAAAATATAGTCCCGAGAGGAAAAAAAGTCTAAGAAATACTATTCTAAACTTGTAATTGCCTCCATTTCCCTCCCCCAGCCCTCAGATCCAATCATTCTCCCTGCTTCATCCACCAATGCCCATCCTGAGATCCCCCCACCATTGGCTACCATCCTGATTCCTGATCCCCTTCTATCTGAGGGGATACCTCAGTTGTTATTTAATGATACCCACTCTGTCACTGTCCCTCAGAGAGACTTCCCTCCCTCCCTTTCAACCCCAAGTCCTCCACCAACAGGTCCCTTCCCCCACCGCCCGCCCCAGTGTGAAAGCCTAAGCCACTCTCCCACTCCATTCATTCTCACGCACACCTTCTCGCCCACCTGAGCATTGTTTTTCTTTCCCATGCTACAGTCCCCAGACTCCCACCACTTCTCCACGATAGAGATGATGCGGGGCTCCCGACTTTAAGAATTGGTCTCTGAATTCTAAATGGACGGAGGTTGCTGGCATCGATTACTCTCTGCACACGCTCAGAGGCATAGTAACTTTCAAGAAGATATTAACTCACCGGCGAACCTCGGCGCGCTCGGCATTGAGGAGAAGGCCACTGAGACAGTGCCAGAACGGGAAACGCGTGAGCAACACCGACCCGATCCGCATTAACAGCCGCAGGACACCTCGCCGCCTCCCGCTACCAGCCGCCATCTTGCGACAGGGCGGAATTACTGGCGTATCCCGTTCCTACCAGAAGGTCCTCCTTGGTCCGTTACAGCATAGCTCTAAAGTCCCTCTCCAAAACTTTCCCTACAGGGAACTAATACCATACTCCAAAGGTTCCCCTCTTCTTTCTATAAACATTAAAAGTTCAGATTTTGTGATTGCCAGTCCACCTGTATTATTTAATCTGCTTCTACTAGGCAATTTACATTTAAAAGAAACAGAAATCCAACACAATATTTCCGACCTAGGGAAGCTACCCCATTTTATTCTATACCGGTTAAAGAGTTTCTATGTCACCATCAGCATCGTTTTCATCTCGCCAACATCGTGCGATTTGCTGTAGTGTATAAGACATTACAAAATTCTGGGGCTCTGCCTAGTCTGATATTTGAGGCAACAGTGAAGGCAGAGGATATGAAAATGGGTTAGAGACAGGGAAAGAATGTGAAGTAGGGATTATGACACGTTTCATAAAATTATAGATTTCTGCACGAAGTGGGAGTTTGAGAATGCGTCCAGTTTGGTCTAGTGTTAGAACACCAGGCTAGTTATAGTCCCGAATTATGCATGAAAGCTAGGTGACTTTGGATCGGTTGCTCTCTCAGTCCAATTCACCTCACAGGGTGGTTGTTGGGAGGAGAAAGGAGTATTATGTATGTTCACCACCTTAAGATATTTATAAAAATAATAAATGGGGAGGGAAAAGAGAACATGAGGGATGGATAATCTCAAAGACAATTGTGGGCGAACATCCTAATAGAGCTGTAATTAAGATATGGCTTTTTCTACAGATTTAAGACAAAAACAAATCAGAGAGAACCATGAAACACACTTCCCAAAACTATGCTTTTTCTATTGGTGAATAAGGGATGCTTACTTGCTCAGTTTGAGCTAATTTATATCAACAAATGGTGATTTTCAGTTAGCATAAAAGCAAGCATTAAGCATAAATAATGTGTTTTACTTGCAGGAAATTTAACATTTCAGTTTCCTTGAGTTAGAATTGATTTCTTACACAATATTCTGCTCTGTTGCCTAAGTAGAATATCAAAGTAACAGCACTAACAGAGTATGAGGGTTGCATAGAGCAGAGGTTCTCAAGTATTTTGGTCTCAAGACCCTTTTATAGTCTTAAAAATCAGGATCCCAAAGAGCTTTGTTTACATAGGTTATATCTATTGATAATTTATGAATTAAAACTTAGACATTTAAAAATATTTATCTTCATGGACCCCATGAAATCCATTCTGAATTCCCAGGATTTGCAGGCCACACTTTGAGAACCATTGGTATTGAAAAACTGATCACAACAAAACAGACACCAAATTGTCCATTTTAATTCCAAGGGCCAATTATTATACTGATTTCATAGCTTTCCCATTTTGTAATCTTTCAGAAATGCTGGAGTACAATTTCCATGTTTTCCAATCAGCAAGTTGTCTGCATTGACAGGGAATTAGAAGAATGATAATCTGCCACAATTCAAGATAAGAGTTAGATTTCATTCTCTTTTCCTTTCTTTGAGTTGATCAACTGTATTTATAGATGCTTCAATGTTTAAGATGCTGAACAGGAAAAGAAAAAAAGTTACCTTCAAAAATATAAAAATTGAGTTGATATTTTTATAATCAAATTAACTAATATTTAAAGATCCCTCAAATTGAGTTCTTTGCTTCCCACATCCATCCATGTACAAAATAACATTAAAAGAACCATTGTCACTCTAAGAAATCAATCTTCTCTGATTTTTTTTTTATGGGAAAGCAATCCACAATGCCAAATTCTAAATTTTTAAACAATAAAGTTAAAGCAATTCCATAACATCAGATGGGAATAAATATCACAAAATATTCCATATGTATCCATTTGTGTTAACAAATGCATAAACAGTAAATGAAAATTAAGACCACCCACAGAAAGTAAAATGCAAATCATATAATATTGTACACATTCCAGATCAATTCTGTAAAATACTTATTCATTGGAAAAAATGTTTGCTATTTCCTGATATCACCCAAGATTAAATTATCTGATGGAACTATTCAAAATAAATGATAAGATTTCCAAAGACTTTGTATTTCTATCTTCTTCCAATAAACATAAGAAAAGGAATTCAAAATGCTTCCAAGCAAGGCATCTGCATTATTTATATTGATGTATCCCACAAAAGCCAAAGAAAAATCATGTAGTTAAGGATCAATGTCCACCACATATGGTTTCGAAGTCCAGTAGTGATTTGAGCTATTTTTTTGTGGTAAGCCCAAGGAGAGAAAACCATCTTAAAAGTTCTAGGAATTTTCAGAATATCTGTTTTTATTTATTTATTTATTTATTTGATTTGCCAATTGTTTACAAGATAATAAGTATAAGTGTATACATAGTTGTGAATACATGAAATGGGTACATATAAGGAAAATAAAAGAAGAATAAGAGAAACAATAGGACAGGGACGGTAGGCACGTTGGTGCGCTTATGCACGCCCCCTACAGACCTCTTAGGAAAGGGGTGAGGTCAATAGTAGACAGTCTAAGGTTAAAGTTTTTGGGGTTTGGGGAAGAAACTACAGAGTCGGGTAGAGTATTCCAGACATTGACCACTCTATTGCTGAAGTCATATTTCCTGCATATTTCCTGCAATTTCTTTCTTTATTTATTTGGTTTGTCAATTGCTTACAAGATAATAGGTATAAGTAAAAACATAGTTATGAATACATGGATACATATAAGAAAAATAAAAGAAACAATAGGACAGGGACCGTAGGCACGTTGGTGCGTTTATGCACGCCCCTACAGACCTCTTAGGAAAGAGGTGAGGTCAATAAAGTCTAAGGTTAAAGTTTTTGGAATCTGAGAAACTCCAGAGAAGCAATCAACACTCTATCCTCGGATTTCAAAACAAAGTCATAGGAATCTTTTTTAAAAAAAAATTAGAGAGAAGGTTGTAAATCTGCTAGATTTATTATCCCAGGAAACTCTGGATTTGTTGACCTTGGTGTGCGTACCAATTAACATGAAAAATAGAAATATCTTTAAAAGCTTTATTCTGCAGAAGAGGGCACTTGTGATTAAAAGTTTCCAAAGGATTTGTTCTAAGGCAGTGGATTTTAAAAGGTTATAATCAGAAATATCATGACTCCATTAACATTTGGCAAACATAGTTAAAATACATATTGGTCAAAAGGTGGGCACTGTTGTTGCTAGGGAAATATGAACTGGTGGATGGATGGCCCATCCATTGCTAGCATAGGTAATGCCTGCCTCATTCTATTCTATGAGGAAAATTTCTAAGGCTTTCTTACAGTCCAAATTTGTATTGCTTATAACTTTCATTTGATAAGTTATGCCGTTTTCATAACAGTTCCTTTACTTTACATCCCCCTCCCCATTCCATTAAGTTCAGATCTCTAAAGCCCAGATTCAACCATACTATTGGAAGACTTTAGCTAGACTTGGAGCTGCTGCAAATAATATCCTTCCTGATGAGAGAAAAAATAACCCAAATAAATGGTCCACACAAATAATGCAAAGGAATTTTTAAACACAGCTAAATCATGTAAATGAGAAAGTTCTGTAAATGATTATATGGTTGGCTGAAAATGTTTAATTACCTTTTAATTTTAAGCCTTATTTTTTATTTTTTCCCTATATAAGACAATTTGTTTTTATGTGATGGCAACTTGATATTGCAGGCATATTTATTGTTAGCAGTCTTTGCTGAAATGAAATATGTTTGTTTGCTTCAATGTACTAATTAGTTACCTCTTGGCCAATGCAAGTAAGCTGTTCTGAGTTCCAGCAAGACAAAAAAAATCAAACATTAACTCTGTATACATTCTATATCCTGTTGCTCACAATAAGTGCTATAAAACAAGTCTAAATTCCTGTGAACTATGAGAGACAAGTAATAGATATAGGTCATAGGTTCCCAGGGCCAAAAAGATGTCCTCCTCCAATTAGAAATGTAGGTCTTGAATCATAACTGCAGAAACAATATACATACTAATATAATCCTAAATTCTAGGGCTTTCAGATCTTTTAAGGGCAGAGGATGGGATGGAGAGAAGTCCATCTGGAACTATGGGGCTGATAGTTGTGAAAAATCAACCTCACTGCCTCCTTTTTTGCAGCAACTAAATCACTCCCCTGCCCCGTTTTCCATACTTCCTGGAATTTTGTGAAACAAGGCAGATTAGTCCAGGCCATCTTTATTCTGCGGTCAAGCTGACATTTAGATGGAAAAATTATTTGTATCCAGGGATAGATATCCTGTCTTCCTGTAGTTTTCCCTGTCCCGAGTTCACATAAGAATACATAATACATAATAGTTAGAGAGGAAACAATGTAGAATATGTCTTTTCCAAATATATTGAAGCTCTGTATGATGGAAATTTGAAATAATTAAATTGAGCTTTAGGTCTAGTTCACAGATGACACAGAAATAAAGGAAAATGAAAAGCTAGAGCTATTTCATATACCATCAGGGCCATCAAATAATTTAGAAACCTCACGGAAGCACTTTTTTTGTCTTTCATAACCTTGTTTTTTAGGACAGGGCCTAAAGGACATACCAGATTGCATGGACAGAGATCAACAGCAGGTTATCCAGAGCAGCCAACCTGAGTGAAAACAAGTTGACATTAAAAAAAACAAAAAACAGATCTGAATATTCAGCTGCATGCATACAAAAAGAAAATCTATAGTAAATGGGGCATACTAAAAGCTGAGCGTATCATCTTGAGTTCTTACAAGATGGTGCTGACTGAGGTTTTTCGGGACAAAAATCCTGGAAATGTTCAGAAAGCCTACAACAACTTTTTACTTAAAATTCATCTCCAAGAAGGATAAGGGACAAGCTGCTGACCATATGGATACTTCTGAGAGACCGAGCAAGCTTTAGTTTCTTGATAGAGACTGGAATTTTGTATCCTTGTAGAATTATTCAAACATAATAGATTCCAATGGGGCTTCTTCCAAAGTCTGCCCAGTTCGAAGCTCATTCTTGGCTGAAACAAGTATTCAAGCAGGTAGTAGGCAGAGAGCACTCTTGCTTACTTGCACGTTAACAGTAGTTTGTACATAATCTTTTCGAATTTGACAATCGTAAAAAGGCATCATTTTTTCAATATTAATGATCAAATTCATTCATTCTACATTGTCATAAGTTTGTTTAGTTTTGGCTTTGCATTTCTTATGACCGCAGTCACTGTGATTAGTAATTCACTCTCCACTTATGGTTTATGTAAATAATGGTTAAGTAAAGCATGGCTAGGCTCTTGACACCAACCATCAGATGAGCAGGACACATCAATATTAACATGTGTTGGAAGCCATCAGACAAAGATGGAAGTGCCAGAATTGAAATGTAAAGCAAATTCAAGAAAATAAATTTACAAGAGGGGGTCAAGAAAACCTAGTTACATGTATGGATTACATACTTCCTGTTCCAGTGGATACTCTGCATGAATTAATTATTAGGCACAATAAGGCACAATACCTAGGGCCTAGGTACAGGTTAAGCTGCAGCAATTGTTTTATGATTTTTATTAAGTCTTAAAAACATCACTGGCTACAGCAAACCTCCTTCCCAGGCAGAAGGAAATCAACAACTAGCAGGTGACCTGAATATGTTTTACTGCAGGTTTGAAAGGAAACTACAGCCACCTATCTCCACAACCCCCATCTCAAACACCAACAACAGCCAAACTTCCTCCAACTGACCCCAACCCATTGGGTTCACAACCTCTGGTGATCACAGAAAAAGAAGTGCAAGATCTATTACACAGACAAAAGCCAGGAAAAGCACCAGGGCCAGACAAGATAACTCCTTTTTGCTTAAAAGTCTATGCTGACCAATTGGCCCCCATCTCACCCAAATCACTAGAGATGTGCTATGTTCCTTCCTGCCTCAAATGCCCTACTATCATCCCACTGCCAAAGAAGCCTTTCATCAAGGAACTGAATGACTATAGACCAGTTGCTCTAACATCTGTAGTTATAAAAATCTTTGAAAGGCTTGCTTGTGCTGTCCCACCTGAAAACCATCACGGATCCGCTGTTAGATCCCATGCAATTTGCATACCAAGCAAATAGACAGACAGATGATGCTGTTAATATGGTTCTGCATTACATCCCACAACACCTTGAATCTCCAAATACCTACACAAGGGCCATCTTTGTAGACTTCAGTTCAGCATTTAATACCATCATTCCAGACATTCTTCTAAGTAAATTAAACCAACTAGCGGTACCTGAAAACACTTCTAAGTGGATCATAAGCTTCCTAACAGACAGGAAGCAGCAGGTGAAGCTAGGCAGATACCTGTACAATTAGCACAGCCCCCTCCCAAGGCTGTGTGCTTTCTCCACTTCTTCCCATATACCAATGACTGCATCTGTTAAAATACTGAAGTTTGCTGATGACACAACAGTTATTGGTCTCATTCAAGACAATGACGAATCGGCATACAGACAGGAGGTTATACAACTTGCCTCGTGGTGTAACCGAACAATCTGGAACTGAACACACTCAAAACCATAGAAATGGTGGTAGACTTTAAGAGAAACCCTCCCATACTACCACCTCTTACAATACTTGACAACACCTTCAAATTTAGTAGAGACCTTCAAATTTCTAGGTTCTACTATATCACATGACCTAAAATGGACACCTAACACCAAAAATGTCATCAAAAAAGCACAACAAAGAATGTTCTTTCTGCATCAACTCAGAAAGCTCAAACTGCCCAAGGAGCTGCTGATACAGTTCTACAGAGGAATTACTGAGTCTATCATCTGCACCTCTATAACTGTCTGGTTTGGCTCTGCAATCCAACAGGACAGACACAGACTTCAGAAGATAATTAGGACTGCAGAAAAAACAATTACTACCAACTTGCCTTCAAACGAGGACCTGTATACTGCACGAGTCAAAAAGAGGGCTGTGAAAATATTTACAGACCCCTCACATCCCGGACATAAACTGTTTCAACTCCTTCCCTCAAAACAACAGTATAGAGCACTGCACACCAGAACAACTAGACACAAGAACAGTTTTTCCCCGAAAGCCATCACTCTGCTAAACAAATAATTCCTTCAACACTGTTCAACTATTACAAAGTCTGCATTACTATTACTATTACTATTATCTTCTCATCACTCCTTATCACCCATCCCTTCCCATTTGTGACTGTATAACTGTAACTTTGTTGCTTGTATCCTTACGATTTATATTGACTGTTAATTGTATGATTTGATTACTTATTTTTACCCTATGACTATCATTAAGCGTTGTACCTATAGTTCTTGACTCTTGACGAATGTATCTTTTCTTTTATGTATACTGAGAGTATTTGCACCAAGACAAATTAAATTCCTTGTGTGTCCAATCACACTTGGCCAATAAAGAATTCTATTCTATTCTAAGTGTAACTCTTTGCCATGCTTCTCTCTTGAGCACTTAGCATCATGATGACCTATTCTCTCCGTTGCGTATATCATTTATCCTTAGCAAAAGACTCTACAATCCATCATCCAGCTGCCAAAAAATTATTTTGTGTTTGGAGTGTACATATTCCATCTTCCCCAAGCAAGGAAAAACCCCACTTAAAACCAGAGAGACCTTGTCTTTCCCTTGTTTAGGTTTCATTTAGTTATTGTTGAACCAAGATATTCCTTAAAATAAAAAGGCAAATATACAAAGCACTTTACAATCTTTATCTTATTTGTCCTCACAACATCCCTGTGAGGTAGGTTGCCCCTCTTTGAGAACAGCCTGAAAGAATTGCCCCACATTCATTCAAGGAGTCTGTGACTAAGGCAGGATTTGAACACAAATCCCAGTTTTGCTCTCAAGTTGGCAGACCCCGCTGCCTTTCTCCAAGGCTTCTGGTTTTGCTTCCAAGAGCCAAGGCCGCATTCTATATTGATAATTGAGGGGGGGGAACCCTCCCTTTTTATTGACCCTGTAATCCCTTAATTTGGGATAAAGTTGGGCAACTGGATGGAGCTGAGCATTTACTGGCCGGATGCCCTTCTTGATGCCATGCAGAATTCACAGCAAATATTTTTTTTCTTTGCACCCTAGGAGAGAAACATTTGCCCTACCTAGGATTGAACTCTCAAACCTTGAGAAATATCTTTATATATATATATATATATTTATATATATTTATATATTTATGTATAAATATATACAGACACACACATACAACTCTCCCAGATGTAATTGTCCATTCTACTGTTGGCTAGTATGTGCAGCTTTTCCCGTAAGGCTGAGCACCTCCCAGATCTGGTGGGTAGGCAGCATTTTCATCCAAGTGGGACAAAGGCACTGTGTCTTCCTCGGTGACGTGCCACTCCAATTCAGCCTTCAGAGTTGGACGTTGGTTGTCAGGAAAAGCAAGGGAGAACAGCACCTCAGGCTCACAGACAAATTTGTACACGTAACGCTCACCAGCCACCTATGTCACAGAAGGGAGAAAAACACAAGCACTACAGCAGCTGTTCTGCTCTTGGCAAATCCTCCCCTCCACGCACCCACAGATGCCTCCAGAAGTGACAAGTATCTTATATTGCTTCTTCGTTTCAACCTCTATTCTGCCATTTCCCAGAAGCTTAATTTGGCTTCATAGCAATCCAAGTGTTTTCCAAAAGAGTGGCATAAAGTCCCGGGAAGAAATACTGAAAATGCACATTTAAATGTGTTTTTTATTTTATGTCTGCATTTTAAAATTCACTTTACAGGACCTGTAAGCCATTCCAGTCAATATTTTTTCCCAATTCCGAAACTCTGATTAAAACAGAATAAAAGTACATAAATGATTTATGTTCATAAAATAACATATAAGGACTGCGAATACACAGTCAATTCAATCAAAATGTACATGTATTGGAGGTTTCAATATACTAGGCATAAAACCAACTGGATTACCCCAGTCCAGTCATATTTTCCCAGCCCTAGGAAGAAAGCAATGGCAAATCTCACCAGAAAAACTAGCGACTTATACAGGCAATTCTAAGAATCAACATTGATTCAAAGGCGTGCATGCGCGCACATAAACACATATACACACACATGCAAAATGTAATATAATATGCAGTTCATAGCTTTATTGTCAGCAATTGTGACAATTAAAAAGCAATCAAGATGGGAAGATGCTCAATCAGGTTTTTTTAAGGCAGATTTATAATGCTCATGAAAAAGTTTTTTTAATGGAATAAAATCCAAGAGCATCAAGTGCTCAACAAGATTATTAAAACCAATACTCCAATATAAAAAAAGAATGCTTCATTATATCTTCCTGTACTCTTGAGACTATTATCCTGTTTTGATTGAGACCCAGTTCATGGTGCTGCTTGAGACTGATGTCTTGACCTTCCTACACATCAAGACCTAGCGTGAGTATTACTAAAGTGTTAGAATTCTGCATTGCTGGAGGCCCTTCCTTTCAAATCATAAAGTTTATGGTAACCTAGATTGTAAATGTTCCATTCCCACTTTCTTTTGTATTTTTAATCCAATAACCAATGTTATTCTCTTGGCACAAAATATGTAGCCCTACCCAAAGTATTGAATAAAGCAGCGAATAGATATTTAACCTAAGATCATCTGTGTTCAAAATACCCCAGCTAGTGTTAGAAATTGTTAACAAGAGATTAACAATTCTGGCAGGCTGTTGACAGATGAGTGCCCACCTTCCCAAATTTAAATGGCATGTGCCAAGCATTCAAACTCCAGACCAACCTTTTGCATAATGCCCTTTTCATAATAGTAACGAAGGGAGCGACTCAACTTGTCATAATTCATAGCTGGGCGATTCTTCTGAATGCCCCAAAGTCGTGCCACCTGCCAATTCAAAGTGAAGCGATCACATTTACATGCAAAGCAACTAGGACCAAGAGACAAACTAAAACTTTCTATTGACATTTGGGGACTTTCTCTTAAAAATCCAAATGACAATAGACAATTCTGTGTACATTTCTTCTAGTATATCCATTTTTATATACTTTTCCCGATATTAGCATTTTTGTCTATGGAGATTCCCAATGATCCAGGCCATGGCTATCCCACCAAAGGTGTTTTTTTTCCCAAAAGGCTAGGTATTTTTGGTATTTTTTTAAAAAACATTTTGCTTCTCATCCAAGAAGCTTCCAGAAGCAAAACATTTTCAAATAAGTCCAGTTGCCTTTTAGCAAAAAAAAAAAAAAAAAAAAACCTTTGAGATTAGCAGTTTTTGTAAGTAAACTTCTCCAATATAATGATTTTTGGCTATGTACTTTGAACCCATACATAGGTTTGAGTTGCCAACTGAAATAACAACTTGAGAAAAGATAACATTTGTTTATATGGCTTCATGTTTATAGTAAGTTTGCGAAGAATATTTGCATTAAGGTGTTAAGTAAAAAAAATCTGCTTTTTAGTTCAAAACACCCTCCACTTTCCAACAACTGCATTTTTGTGGGGTTCTGAAGCTGGTTTTGTTCAATTAGAAAGTTAGATGTGTGCAACTTTTTCTGAGCTTATAGCCCATATGTAGCCATTGACCACATATTGGGCATTCTTTTCTAATGACAGGGTACAATTTGGATAAAGAAGTTGGCCAACACAAAAGCTGCATTGAATTTATGGATTGTTGGTATGTATGTATTGATATTGCTGATGGATACTGCAATCAGCAAATAAAACTAACTCTTTTTCCATCACAGTATAATTTGTCAATTTTAGGAGGACCGTGCCTGCCATGCTCACCATTTTGACTACGATAGGTTCCATATAATCCACAATCAATGAAGGGTAATTAATATAAGATGATTTTCAGTTAAAAAAAAAAGTAACAGAAAATCTGACCTCTTCTGGTTCAATGAGTTTGAATTCCATCCCTCGACCTGTCCAGGCAATACAATGGGAATTGCTTGGATCATCCAGCAAAGCCACCAAGAACTGCCAAAGCTGCAGAGACCCACGCCGTTGATAAGGTGGGCCCTCACGGTATCCACTTCCTTCTTGCCTAATATCCCCTGTTAAGGACAGCATATACAATATAATAAAAGGGAAGAAAGAAACTGATTTTTTTTTTAAAAAAACCCTACATTTTCTGAAGAAAATTCACAGGGAGAGCCAATGCCATATCCTGAAATCAAACTTCTACATTTTGCTTTCCTACAAGGCAAAAAAAATGGGAGGAGGGATTCTACTGTATCTACCAGTTTTCTCCAGCCTTTTTCTCTCCAGGAATACTGACATGACAATTCCCAGATTTCCTAACAAACCTGGCCAGAGTGTAGCTGGAAATCTGGAAATTGCAATTCTAGTTAATTTGGGGAGACTGTTATATTTCAAAGTATTTCTCCTTTATTATCACACCATCTTTGAAACATAAGTGGAATTACAAATAGGCATGTTGATAAAGATATTCAGCAGGGGTGTCAAACTTGCAGCCCTTGGGCCGGATGCGTCATGCACAGGCCATACCCACTCCAGCTCCGCAAATGAGGGGGGGGGAATCACAAAATGTCATGTGACGGCAACATGACATGACGAGTTTGATACCTGTGATATAGAGACAGTGAGAAGCAAGAGGGAAATATCAGCAAATGAACCCCCAAGTTCTCAAAGATACAAAAACACAAAAACAAACATAGATTATAAATTTGATATTTATAAGTCTAAGTTTTTATGCTTCACAAATAACATGAAGAAAGTGGATTCCAACTTTTTCCACACCCTCTGGAACCAGAGAAAATAATCCAAATATCTACCTGTAAAATATCAAAGCCCACATATTCCCTGGGACTAATATGCAGGTATTTTGTTCAAATTCAGATTTAAAAGATAACTTTGCCAATTTAATACCAGCCAAATATATAAAGCATGATGTAAGCTGAAGTCCAGCATCTGTAAACTTGCAAAATTGGAAAAGTCTACTATAACTGAAGGAGTAATGCTTAAGGCATTGGTCCTTAACCTCTTTTTCACCACCTTTAAATATCTTTTGTGGTCATGGACCGTGGCCATGGATTCCCAAGACATAACTCAAGATTTAAATCATAACATTTCTTCAAGCCTTCGCAGATTCCCTGAAAAGACATTGCTGACCCCCAGGGGTCTGTGGAGCACAGGTTGAGAACCACTGGCTCATGGGAATACCACATTTATGAAAGATGCATTCTTAGTTCAAATATTCAACTGGAAAATTGGGTAGCTTGGCTATTAAGGAAATTAAAGCCAAATGCTATTGGCTCTGACCTTCGAACCTCTCAGGAACAACACAAACATCTTCTGCAAATGGTTGCATTTGCCTCTCATAACCATAGCCTGGAAAAAAAAAACACCCAAAGAACAATAGGTAAATATCAAGAATCTGGTGTGCATTTCTTCTAGATATATGTAAGTCATTGACATTCAGAGATTAACTACCAAAATTCTTCCCAGGATTGATTGGATTGATTACACAACAACTACTGCTCCTTAGGCTTTCAATTAGCTACCTTTAACCACATGAGACTTTCTTATCATTATAAAATCTACTAATCATTCTCCCAGAAGTTAAGATAGTTGTATGTTCAGTAATAGGTGTGGGGTTTGCTTTTTTTCATTGTTTAGTTGTTGGTGGAGTGGGGGGGAAGGTGATGCGTTATACTCTGGCTGAAACCAGACTGGGGAGAATTGTGTAAGTATGAATCTGCCTCTTATTACACATATCCCAAGTCCATTTTGATATTGTTCATTCTAACTAGCAATAAGTCGATAAGCAAACAACTCAGTATCTCTTCAAGAATGAATGTCTACCTACAAGTGTTGAATACACTTGATTATAATTGATGCAACACTCTTGTGTGAATATTTGCACCCTCTTAGATAAAGTCTGAAAGAATCTCAATGCTCAGAATAATGTGGTCCATGTGCTCTCATAACTGATTGTTTAGGTGCTTGCCTTGCATCCTAGGACTAAGTCTTAGATGCAATTCAAACGGTGACTTTTTATGAACCCTTCAGGGTGGAACTTTTTTAGATTGACTTGCCTCTGCTGTACCTTCTACTTGCTTGTTGTATGGTAAAAGCAAGGCTTAAGGCTACAAAATCACTTTTGCCTAAACTCCACAGATTTTTCTAAGAGAACGATAAAAGCAGTATCTGCTAAGAATCTGTACTAGACTTTTTTCTGGGAAATAATACAAGCTGGAACTTGTCCCCATTGTCCAGTCATGCATCCAAATCTACTCCTAGAACATTTCACAGCAAATTGTAATTAATCACATAGTCAACCAGATATTTATACTGGATTTGGCATTTTGTCCAGTCCTTCCTTAGGAGCTAGAATAGGCAGGTGTTGTTTATTATTATTATTATTATTATCATCATCACCCTAAAGAGAAAAATGTATCAAATCTATCAGGAACCCCAAGATTGTTTTTCTCACCTAATATGCCTTCAGAATTGGAACAACTTGGTAATCCTTCTGCATTCATATACATTGAATGGCAGCTTGCCACATCTGTAATTCAAACAAAAAAAGCGAGCATGGAATAAATAGGATTTGCTGGCCTTGTTTCAGATGTACAACTATTGAAGGTGCCAATGCCATTATTGTATACCATTTTGGGGGAAACAAATGAGATATGAATTGAATCCAAAATGAATTAATTTGGGGAACGCTCTTGTTGGAACGCACTTCCACCTGCACTTTTATACTCATTAAGATATTTAAGACCAACTTTGCTATGATTTTTCGGTAGCGGACTTGTTTTTTTTTTTTATTTAGCTTTTTATTTTGCATAATTTGTTTGACATTTGTCTGATTTGAATAAATGAATATTATTACTATAAGTAAAAAACAAGTTTAAGTGGAGAGGAGTTTTTTAAAGAAAAAGTAGAATATAAAAATAATTAAAATAAATTACAGTATATGAGAAGAAATACACCGTGCCTTTCTTACAAGGTCTGGAGATCTCTTGATCTTTCAGTTGCCACTGAACCATTACTCTCAGAAACTCCACCTAAACTAACCTGCTACAAAGGATACTGGGAATTATAGTTTATCAACATCTGGAGGGCCTTGGGTTATCCATACCTACAAAAACACCTTTCAATGGTCAAATCCATGATTCACTGGGCACTTTTATTTCCCAGCTAACAGTTTTATCTACCTATTTACATACAGCAGAAAAAAAAAATGAAAGCAAGTAAACATTTATTCAGTATTAATGGGTTAAATCCTGAAAAGGCAGCTCTCGGGGCTAATGGAATCTTATTCTTTTCCTAATCGCTGACACTTTTAAGAAGTTTATAGCAGCTGAAAAAATCAAGTGAGGAAAGGCACTAATCGCAGTCCCTGGAGAAATGTGGAGCTGTAAAAAGGGTCAGAAAAGGGAGTGCATTTCTCCTGCATAGCCAAAGGCTTTCCTACTTCAAACGCCAGTTGGATGCTTCCCTCCCAGGTTTGCAGGTGTCATTTTCTGCACATTCTTCCACTTTCTCTGGGCAATGAGCCAAGCTTTGGCTTGTGTTACCAGCCTGCTGGCTGATTTCAGTTGCACCATTAGGAGAGCACGAGCAGTGAAATCCAACACTCCTTATCCGGAGCCCAGTTCCTGTGCATCCATTTTGTGAATGAAATTCCTTTCCATTCCAGCCAGCCAGCCAGCCACAGAGACAGACTCTGGGCCAAACCAGCAGGAAGGTAGAGACTCAAAGTTATGCAACGCCTTGCCAGCTCTGGGGAACAGAATAGTTTTTCCTCTTTCTCTCCTAACATTTAAAGGTCAGGGAATCCATAAAAATCCCTCTTCTATAGGCAAGGGTGGTAGTAAAAGAAAAAGGAACATACTTGAAGTTTAATTGGTATGCGGGGAGGAAAAGCAACTTAAAACATTTTAACATACAGAATTTCTCATGAGCTAGGAAAGTGTTGGCATTTCCCCCCCTGCTAAGCCACAACAACCTGGTTAAATGGATTGGGCAATTGCCATTGGATCAAAGTAAGTGTGAAGATGGCCATGAATTAAGCTCAACTCCATACAGTTTTCTTATCAGCCTTATGGAAGAGATTTCCCATTGTAATCTTTTGCATGTTTTTTTTTTAACTGGTCAGTTATGCTACAGACCTGGTAGTTCCCCAACCAACTATAAGCTATCTGAACCCCACTGAAATTTCAAGATCAGCCAATGGAATTAAGGCCGGTCTAAACTTAGTGCATTGCTCTCCCTACCCCAATGGCAACGGAACATAACACCAGAAACAAACATGATTTTGCATGATTTTTGTTCTTTTATTCATGTATAAAACTTTTATAACAAAATCAAGTGTGTATGAAAGAGAATCTGAACATAACGTACAATATATTGGAAATACACAAAAATAGTAATACTCTATGGAAGAAAAAGGTACCTTCCAGATAACTTCCCACATACATTGGATTATGACTGTCCTCATCCCCTAGCAGAATATGGGGATGGAAAGAATTGTAGACCTCCACCTCTGGCATGCATGAGGTTGGGGGAAGCTGGTTCAAACCCATAATCCCAGAGTTCCTGGCTGGATGTATCATTGGAAAAAAGAATTACACACAGATATAAATCTTGTTCTTTGTGCTCAGTTTCGATGTGTTTATCAGTGAAATCAACAAATGGCATCTTTCAATAGCAGCAAGGATCCAAGATTTTGGCAGGACCAGTATTGGGCCCTCCCTGCTTTTTAACTTTTGGGGGTGTGGGGTGGCATAGTATTATAAGTAATGCCATGTAAACCCAAATGTTTTGATTGTTAATCAGCATAGCTGGACCCAGCAAATTTCAGACTGTTTCTGTAGCAGGAAAAAGATAAACCTGGTCCAAAGAACTAATGCTAATCCTAAACACATGCACACACACACACACACACACACACACGCACCCTACACTTGCACTTTCTTTCACTCTACCTGTGTCAAAAGCATAGTCCATCCGCTCCTGTTTTATCACCACACCAGTTGCATACTGGGAACCATCTACGTCTCCCAGTGTGTTCGCTTGCTCATACATGGGGTCGTAGAATTCGTGCTTGAAGCCCTGACGGGGATACGGCAGGCATGGGGCAGACCATGGACGTTGATAAATGGAAGGGCTGTCTGATACCAAGGCTTGAGAGGCAGAGAAGGACTGGCTGGCCTCAGCATGCAGCTGGTACAAGGAACTAGAAGGAATGCAGAATAAGCCATACAGTTGTACAGGCAGACAAATAAATAAAAGGCGTTTAATAACCTGATCATCCCTTACAGTGCACGAAGGGGATGGGAACTCGCTATTCCTTTGAAAAAGAGTCCAAAATCAGGAAATGGAACACTTATGCTCAACAAAGTTTACCAAGGCAAAGTACTCTTTGGGTATTTCAGCCAACAATTCCTATCATCCCCTTTCAACATGCCACTTGAGATGATGGGATCTGTTTGAACTATTAACTACAATAGCTGGGCATGTTTAATTGGGTAAAGAGACAGCATGTCATGTAAATTGCTAAATTCAATTGAGATGGTTAGGTTGTGTTTGGGCTAAACTAACTCCCCCCCATCAGCTTTTGTCTAGTAGCCACTATGGAGGAAAATTCCTGGAGTTGGGAGCTGTCAAAAGCTGCAGGAACTCCATGTCTCTATTTTGTTTCACCGTCACCATCTATGATATTTGAAGCAAAGGTGGAACCAGGAGAGAAAGAGTGGAAAATGTCTCCATCTATGGTAGAACCAGATCCTCACTTGGATCACTGTATATTTCGTAAAGTTTTAAAAAATGACAGAGTGATGCTCCAAAACAGCCCTGTAGTAATTTGAACTCCTATTTTACCCACCCAAGAGAATGAGTATTTATAATGTGTGCTGATTGATTCAACCAACCCTGTCATGCTCAACAAGCATAAGTCACTAAAAAGCAATAATATTTTAGCCTAACTCATAATACGGACCCAGACAGCAGCTGAACATAATGCTGTTTAATGAAAAGAAGGACAAGTGATAGCAGTGTTCCAATATCTCAGGGTTGCCACAAAGAAGAGGGAGTCAATCTATTTTCCAAAGCATCTAAAAGAAGGATAAGAAGCAATGGATGGAAACTATCCAAGGAGAAAAGCAACCTAGAATGAAAAAGACATTTCCTGATAGTTAGAAAAATTAATTAGTGGAACAACTTGCTTCCAGAAGTTGTGAATGCTCCAACACTGGAAGTTTTTAAGAAGAGATTGGACATCCATTTGTCTGAAATGGTGTAGGGTTTCCTGCCTGGGCAGAAGATTTCAACTCTGTTATTCTATTTTGCTCGAAAGTTAATTTTTGAGAGAGCAAGAGTTTCTTATAATGTATTAAGCTTCCCTAAACCTTTCAGGTAAAGTGAGAGATATTAGAAATTTTATCCACCCAGTGCATTGGCTTACCTGTGTTCCATACAGTATGCTTGGCCAGGCGCTGTCTGGAGTGGGCCGTGATGGCTCACATTGTTTGAATCTTGCCTAGAGAAAAGTGCAAGCATCAGGTGCAGCAAGATATATCCCTCTCCCTCCTGCTGGTATTTCCCATTTTCCCCAGCAAAACCCTGATGCGTCATAATAAGATATGCTCTGAAGAGGTTATTTATTCAGAACTCGACTCAGACTTGATTTTTATTTTGCAGTCAGACAAATGCACTAACACTGATGACGTATATTTTTCAGAGGGAACAGGCCTTTCTTCCTTATCTCCTACTTTTCTTTCTTTCTTTTTCACACATACTAAATTAGACTGAGGACTCCACATGATTCTTAAGCCACAGGCTGCCAGGCTGATGATTTTAAAGCAAAGCTGCACCTGTGTGGCTATTGAAAGCTTTGGATGTGGACACAACCACAGGGGAAGGAATCATATTCATTCTACAAAATGTAAACGAAACCAACATTACCTTTTAATATCTTCTGATCTCGCCTATTTTTAGAAACAGGCTTCTTAATATGCAACTCATCAAAAGAATAAATCCTTGGGTGCTCCTGCTTTAAAGGAGGTGAAACAGAAAAGAGAGCAGACGAAATTGTGTTCTATCGCCAGAACAAGATAGACTCGAGACCGGAGTTGAGTTCAGCTCTTTATTTAACTATCAGTAACTTCAACTAAACTTGAGCCGCAGCAGCCTCTTTTATAGCGGCTGCTCGCGGCTCGCAACCAATAGCATTATTTTAAACCTCCCGCCGTTTGGGCATCCAATCATAATCTGTTGTTAACCACCAATCGCTAGGCGGTAGTGATTGTCCAATTGGAACGTAGTATTACGAGTATGCAAATGTCTATGTACAACAAATTGGATGGCACCATTTAAATGTGATGCGGACTTCAGGGGGTTGGGACTGAGGGAGAGAAGTGAAAAAAGCTCTATAGGTAAGAACATATCAAGGAACAGGGGTACGAAGACAAGTGAGAGGGACCTAGGAAAGCTTGGAGGGTAAATAAGGGCTAGGAGATGGCGCTCGAATCCAAGACCCTGCATGTGGAAGTGAGGAGTCTAAGGGAGGGAAAGTGCAAGGAGAGGAGACACTAAAATGTGGCAGACAAAGGCTGAAGAACAGAAAGTTGCAAAAAGCAGGGCAAGGAATGTCAGGACCATTAAGGAGAGTTTATGAATGGTGAGGATTTTTTTTTAATACACAGCACTTTTTTTTACAATACCACACATAAAGAAATATAGCATGACTTGGTGAAAGATTGTTCCCTGGTTCATAGGAAATCGAGGAATCTACACTAAAACTGCATACCTGGCCTAAAGGGCAAATATTCTTTGTCAATGGAACAAAGAATCAACAAGGGTTTTAAGATTGGAGAGATAATGTGAGAAAACAAAACAATCATCTCCACCCCCCCAGCATCTTAACACAAACATTAGGGATCATCCACAGTGGTATTTCAAAGAGGAAACACCTGACTGGACAGAAACACCAACATCTGGGGCACTTTTTCAAATTTTATTTATTTATTTTAGGCACCTACACTATCATTCACAACATTGTGTGATACTGCCTGATAAGAAATAAGGAGTATGTCCTTTGAAGATTCACCCCCACATCTTCTTTTGCATTCCTACACAGAAGATTTGTCCAAATAAATGTTTAACCAAATTAAATAAATACCTAATAGCCATATTTTAAGCTAGGCTTGACATCTTGGTCATGCTCTTTTTTTTTTTTTTAAAGATTTCTGTCAATCTATTTTGGTGGTTTATTGTGGTTTCCAATCCATTCAATAATTTATGATTCAACATAGCAAATAAATTCAGAAAATGGGTTAGTTTAGGAAACTAAATTAAATAGGTTAAGCATGCTGGTTGAAAACAACCAGAATATGCCAACCAATCCACTCAGCTGCCCCCACAGTTAAATTCAGTGATGGAAAAGGGAAATTGTAAGGATGAGACCTGCTCATTTCTGCCTATGGATTCTCATATATACTCCCTGAATCTGGAAAGATCCAAAGTTTTGATCCAGCTGAGAGAGCCAACCAAGAAAGAAGGCCTTGCAGTAGATGAATCAAAGTGTGGATCCTGGAGATGTGGAACCTGGAGAATTTGTCAAAGCGGACAACAGAACAGTGGTGTTGAGGATTCTTAGGCCACAATTAATCAGGGTCCCTCCATTCTCCCTGCCCAATGTTATATGTTAACCACTCTGGTTTTCTTGCTGAATGAAGGCAACTAGCATTCCACATTATTTGCATATTCAATAAAGAGCTACTTCTGATTATCTTCATAGAATCATAACATTGGAATGCATCTTGGAATTAATCTAGCCATCTCCTATACTCAATTCAACATCACTGCCAGATGGGCATTTGACCTCTGCTTCAATACTTCCAAGCAGAAGACTGCACATCACCTCCCTTGGGCAGCTTTGTTTTCTCTAACACATGCTTCTCCCAACAGTATGTCAAGATCCCCGATTCCCATCCTCTGCACCCCTTCCGACAGCAGATAAATTTGCTCTATCATTTAAAACTTTCAGGGTAAAATGAATCATTATCATATGTCATTTTCAATCATCTCTCCAAATTAAATTTGTTAAATGACTAACTCTATACCAATGCTTCGCTACAAAACTATGTGATCAGGCTTATTTTTTGGGGAAGGAAATATGGGGGGAAATTGTGCCTCTGCCTAACAGCATCCATATTCATCTGGCTAGCATCCTGTCAGTGTGTGAGAGTATTGAGGGCTGTTTGGAAACTGAGTGTGTGAGCTCTCAGTTTGCTCTGTGTGAGCAAGAAGGAGACAGCAAGGAGCGTGGCTTAGCTCAACTGTTCTGTTCTAAAGGTGGTTGCTGCTGTGAAACTACAACTGAAACTCCTCTCCTCTGCTTGTGTTTTGCATTTGGAACAGATTTCTTTTCAGGTGGGGAGTAGAACTCCTTAGCATCAGAGCATGTTAATAATAATATATAGGAAAAACTAATGTTCTGATGGTCATTTCAAAATATCCTTTCTTAGGGAGCACCTAGAAGCCAAGATGAACATATGTGCCAAATTTCAAGTTTGTCAGCTTTATGGTTTGGGAGATTTTGTGATGATGCATGAGTGGTATTCCATTTTTATAGAGAGAGATTTCAGCAGTAACTCCCCATCTGTATAGGTTTTATATGTGCTTTTTAAAAAGTTAATGTTCAGAATTGAGCATATGCTCCAAAGGCAGCACGCCCAGTTTAAAATAAGAATGCGGTGCAGGCTATGAAAATACAAAAAGGGCTTCAGACCTTGGATAAACTCCTAGCATCTCTTGGCTACACATCACTACATACCGATTCTTTTCAAGATTCCATGCAATCCAGAAAAAAAGGAATTTAAGAATCACAAATCTCTTAAAATCAGTGGCATTTTTTTCAGGTTCATACAGATGTTTGACAAATTCAGGATGTTTTAATTATTAGTCAAGAGCTGTTGTGCTTTAGTGAAGTCCAAAGCACTTGGTTCTAAAACATATAGAGTCTTCATGCATTCTATTCTAATCAACCTGCAAACCAAAGAATAAAAAGACTGTGTATTGTTGAGCCAAGAACCGATAGCAAATCCTAATTACATGTCCAAGAGCCCTTCTTTATTAATTTTTACAATAGAAGCTTGATCGTCTAATTTCACTTAGATCCTTTGACACTTCCCTTGGTTCATCCTCCAAACACAATTTTACTTTTCTGAAATGTCAAACATCCAATTAGTTACTTTTACTCCACTGATCTGTGAAATTCAGTTCTCCTCCATCCCTTTTCAATAACTGTATTTATAGGATCAGACTTAACTTGATGGTTAATGAATAAATTCCTACATTTGGATGACACTGTTACTCTCTCGTGGACAGTGGGATAGACTTGGTATTGACTGTTTATCATCCAATCACATTCCCAACATATTAAGTTGCCAACCAATATGGACACCATGTTTTCTTAGCTTCGAAATATGCAGGATAATGGTGAGTTATTGAATAATACAGTGTTATGAATAATACAGTGTTACAGTGTTATAGTTGACTTCTGCATATCTTGGCCTTTTTCTCAAACTTGTCTGAACCAGCAAGATCTGAAGGAAACCTCTACTTAGCATTCTTGGCAATTCCTAACAGGACAAATTCTCATGACTGCAGGAACACAAGGTGATCAGCATTTGTTCTGTAGCAGCATTACCTGGCATATAAGCATTGCTCCCTGGGTTGGTAATGAAAAGACTGTGTGAGTCTGCAGGAACTGGAAGCATCCACACATGGGCTTTGTGGTTCCTTTTTTATCTTAGCTGGAGGACTGTGAAGGGCCACTGGGTGGGGAAAAAAGGAGAGTAAGGACATCAGGATACTCATCAGTCTGAGTTTGCATCAACCAAGCATCACAGGGGGCAAAGACTTCCCTCTCCTCCCAACCCCCAAAAAGAAATTGAGAACTAGATGTTCCCTCTTATTTGAAGTTGGAGGGGGGGAGGAAAGAGATGCTTTAACCTGCATCAGAATTGTATTTGCAGAGCCTAGCTACAAAGGAATCTGAGATAGGACTTTGTACCAGAGGATATTCTTAGCATGCAAAAGTCCCAGACTTTTGTCTTTCTTGGTTAAAAATTCTTGGTTAAGAATACATAAATTGATTAGGAAAATGGCCTAAGAGTCTGCTTCCAGTCCAAAGAGGCAATAGTGTGCTAAAATTGTCCTATATGAAATAAGGCAGTTTCTATTTTTCATGCCACTCCACCCCTCTGTTTCAACAATTATTTAGATTAGATCATCTCAGTTCTATCTGAGAAATTACTTGGATTTTTTTTCATTTATTAATGAACAACAAAAAGAAAAACATTTAAAAACAATGAACGTGGTGCATAAATAACCAAAAGTACAAACTTACATATATACATAAATATTAATCATTGTTGATACAATGCCTTTCTTTTTTAAACCAGTGGTAAAACTTCTCCAAAATTTTGTAATAATCAGATTCAGTCTTATCTTTTAATTCTTGAGTTACTCTATCCATTTCAGCGCACATCCAAATTTTTCTAATTATTTCCATTTCTTATGGCATATCATTACTTTTCCATCTTTGGGCAAGGGCTAATCTCACAGCAGTGGTGACATGGACTATTAGGTATATTATCTCTTTATTCTATTTCCGCACATCGATTCCCAATAGAAAAATTTCAGGTCTAAACTCTATTTTAATTTTACACATCTCTTCTAACCAGTTTCTAATTTTCAGTCAATATGTTTGGGCTTTTTCACATTTTCACCATACGTGATAATATGTTCCAATTTCTTTGTTGCATTTCCAGCATTTAGGGGATAATTTTGGATACATTCTTGCCAATTTTGATGGTGGGATATGCCATTGGTAAAACATTTTATGTAAGTTTTCTTTATATGATGCCACCAAGGTTATTTTTCTATTCCTGTCCCATAAAATTTGCCAATCCTCCAAATTTATACCATATCCAAAATCTTTCATCTAGGCCAACATCGTTACGTTCACCTTTTCCTCTTCCAATTTACATTCCAATAATACTTTGTAAATTTTTAAATCAATTTCTCATCCGTTCCTAATAATATTTTATCTAACTTGGAATGTTGTATTTGTTCATTAAATTTAGATTTACAACCTGACCTTTCAAAAGGAGCTTCACACAGCTGTCTGTCCTCCAATTTTCGCCCACACTATTAACTCTTTAAAGGGCAGGTTAAGAGATGGTGTCTGACTGAGAATCATCCAACAAATGTTCATGCTTCTTTCTTCTAATGTTCACTTTGGTTGGATACATATTGAGTCAGTCATAAAGCCATGAGTTTTAGGTTCTCTTTCCTGAATTTCTATGATGTTCTGGGAGTTTCTATGAGAAACTATAAGAAGAATATTCTTTTCTATGAGTTTTAGGTATTTTTGTCATTTACTTCCTATCAAGAACATTTTAATGAAGGATGAAATCCAATTCTTTTTTTAGTGCATCAAGTACAAGTTAAATAAATTATAAATAATAATTATAGGCTCATGGTCTTCATCTTGATCAGGGGTGTCAAACTCATGGCTTGGGGGCCGGATGTGGCCCACAGGGTGCTTAGATCTAGCCCATAGGCCTGGAAACAGTGAAGGTCGGACCGTGGTGCCTCTGCCAGCAAAAACAGGTCACAAGGGCCACGCACAGCCCTCGCAAGCTCCATTTTTGCTGGTAGAGGGTTGCAGAAGGCCTTCACAGCCAAAAACAGCTTGTGAGGGCTGCACACAGTCCTCACGAGCTCTGTTTTCACTGGCAGAGGGTTGCAGGAAGATATCACAGCAGAAAACAGAGTTCGTGAGGGCCGCACATGGCCCTCAAAGCTCCGTTTTCACTGGCAGATTGTTGCTAGAGGCCATCGCAGCCAGAAATGGAGCTTGGGAGCCTGCTTTTACTGGCAGAGCATTCAGGTCACCACAGGTACCCCTGACACGAGTGACGTTGAGCTGGCCATGCCCACCCTAGCCCTCTGAGGTCAAACACAATCCTGATGTGGCCAGCAACGAAATCGAGTTTGATACTTGTGGTCTTATTTTTCTTCCTTCACACAAATGTCCTTGCTTTATGTATCTACATCTCCTCAAAATAGAACATTTCTTTAGTTTAATAAAAACAAATGGCAGAATCTGCCCAGATCTTGGATTTAGACAGCTTACATTTCATAAGATCTGGGTGGTTTTGTGGCTGTGTTTGGCCTTTCAAACCAGGTTATGTAATGGCATCTAAAGGCCTGCAAAGGTGACTGAGTGCTGTCACAACATGTTTAGTTTGTATTCGTTTGGATTTGGATCATTATGATTTGAGAGTTAAAAATTCTGCTTGGTTTCCTGTGTACATGATACCCTTAGGCTATACTTATTGAACTGAAACATAATTTACAGGTTGTCAGTCACACCTAACCTAGTGGTGTAGGAATCAGGAGGCCATGAGTTCTAGGCCTGCCATGAAGCAAGGAGGTGAGAATGGATTGACAGAGTAAGGAAAATATTTCACTGAAACTATTCAAGTACTTTCCTCTGAAAATTAATAACAAAGAAAAATAGGAGTCGTCTTTTTAGTCACATCACATCTTTTCTGATCTTGGGAATAAAAATTCTCCGAAGAGAATTTTGTTATTCATGAATGTTGTTGATACTAGTAATATAATCTTAAATTTCCAAAACTAAAAGGACTAAAAAAAATTTGTTTTGATTTATAATTGCAAAGGAAGATGTCTAGGCAGAAAGAGGCCCCTGTGGGAAATACACTCAGATGAATAAAACACTGTCCTCCAGCTTTAAAAAAAAAACAATTAAAATTATTATATTATTGAGTTTGCAAGCGAATAGTGTTCAGGATATAAAAACTATCTTGCTAGGAAAAATTGGTGGCAGTGAATGGCCTCTACCTAAGTTTTGTTATCCTCAAAAGTGCAGAGTGGAGAAAGTACATTTATTTTGTGTTTCACTCCCACTCCTGGGCTAGTATCACTTTTGCCTTGTATTTTGGACATGTAGAGAAACTTCAGTGCCCAGATTCCATGTTGTGCTCCAAAATATTCCCAAAACATCCCTTCTTAGATCCATTAATGGAGCAATGAGAAAGCAGAAGCTATTTAGCTAAGGAGTGTAGCCCCTCATCTACCCTCCCAAAGGGGAAGAAAAGTCTTAAGGGCCCTCCCTATGTTCAATAACTGAATGTCAAACACTAACAAGTTATTTGACAGCCTACAAAACTTCCAACTATTACAAATATGCTTCCACAAACAAAAATTTAAAATAAAATATTCAGTAGAAACAAATCAAGAGTAGGAATATTAAAAAAACAAAAACAAAACACCAATGTCCAAAAAGAAGATCAAGTAGAAGAAGTATCATGGGAAGAATCAAAAACATGTGGTCAGGATGGTTTTTTCAATCGTATCTGGCATCCAGAGAAGTAAACTCAGCTCTGGCTTTTTCAGCATGAAGGATCAGATGGTGGCATTTCAGACATTAGCATCGTGTTTGGGTACTTTTCATTTTCTTCCCCATCAAAGCATGACCCTCCCACCTCTCCATCTCCCCAGTTTCAAGACTCACAGTTCTCTGAATGGAAGTCAGGCACAAATTGCTCGTCACTGTCTGGAACCTGTGCTGCAAATTGTAATGGAAGAAGATAAGTAGTATTTGGCATCCTGCGAAAAGTTTATTTAAAACACATGCATGCATACAAAAATGAAAGAAAGAATAACAGAAGGGGGGGGGAACCATGCTTTTGTATGAGATGGGAACAAATCACCGCCAAGAAACAGGAGGGAGTTTTTCTCTTGGGATTGCAACCTTGTCTGCGTAATCTCTCTCCCAGTAGAATTGCCATTAGCAAATGAGCAGAGCTAGCTCTTTATTTCAAGAGTGTTTTCCTCTTTTCATAGTGCAATACCCGCCTCTTAAGACTTAAGACATAGATAAAATAGACACATCTACTGCACACCATAGCTTAAGAGAGATTCCCTAATTCCCTGGTCCTCATAAATCACACCAAACGGATCTGGATCACAATGAAATCCTAACAAAGGAAGCTCAAACAAGGATGGCAGATTAAGCAATACCAAAGAGATCAAATAAACTAAAAGTAGTCCTCGACTTACAACATTGGCCGTTTGAAGCTACAACGGCACTGAAAAAAGGGACTTATGGTTGTTTTTCACACTTATGATCATTGTGGCATCCACATGATCATGTGATTTACATTCAGATGTCCAGGTCGTGTGATTCCCTTTTGTGACCTTCTGACAAGCAAAGTCAATGAAAGTCAGATTTACTTAACAGCCATGTTACTTACTTAACAACTGCACTGATTCATTCAACAAATGTGGCAAGAAAAGTTGTAAAATGGGGCAAAACTCACTTAACAAATTTCTTGCTTAGCAACATAATTTTTTTGGCTCCGTTATGGTCATAAGTTGAGGACAATAGTTTAGGTTTTATTTTTCTTGTCCATCCAAAGGACCATACATCCAGCTGTGAAGTGATTTAATTGTGATTTATTGGCAAAGACACAAAAGCAACATTCAGTATAACTATAAACCATAGTTTACAACATCCAGTGATGGGTTACACATCATGCCAATCAAAACCATACTGACCATCTTATAATTTAGCATGATCTGTGAAACCAGCCAATTTGTATCCCTAGAAAATTTATCATCCTTACAACTCTCTTCTGAACACTTTTCAGATCTGCCATTTTTCAGATCAGCAACAAAACAATTATCTGCATGGAATGTGTTGAAACTAAACTTACTTAATGTTGGTTGCACAGACATTTGTTAGAAAGGCAATAATTTAATAATTGGTAATTGGTAAAGTATTCTTTATTTTAAATGCTTCACCCTTTTCTCTCTTGGTATATCTTGCCAAACGATTCACTTTCTATTACTTAAGTCTAAAGTACTTCATTCCAAACGGTACTTAATTCCAGAATATATATTCCAGCATTTATATGTTGGAAATCATTTTGGGACTGCACTGGACAGCCTACAAAGATAATATGAAAAGATCATTTTTACACTTTTGTGACAAATAGATGATATAATAAGGCACACAAAAGAGCTAAATTTTCTGGTCTTCTAGTAACAGAAATGTTATGAAAAGGATAATCTGAAATCTTTTTAAAAGTAAATGGAGAGGGCATGTCTGTGCCTCCTGGAGAAAGCTCCAAAATTAGGAAAGGTAGAAGGAAACAGAGGGCAACCAAAAGCAAGATGGACAGACTCAGTTACAGTGGTGATGGTTATATTATTGGATCAAGTGAAGGGCAGATTATCATGGAGAAAATCTATTTTGCGGTTTCTGAAATATTAAAATCAATCTGACTCAATCAAATATTGAAATTTATTATTTCACCATTTTTATAGTTTGATCACTTCCCAAAGTTCCCTACTACTACCAAATATGTCTCCATGACAGTATAAAACATTTAGAAATAATTCAGATCTGCAATTCAGTTTCCAGAATTTACCTCACTGCATCAATCTTTCCTTGTCTGTTATATGTCCATACTAGAGAGAACATTCTGATGACTTTAATAGTGACTCTTAGTCTTTTGATGTGACAAAATATATTTCACTATGTATGATTAATTAGTAACATATTGAGTAGTTATACCCTCCAGAACATTTTTGAATTCCAGGAAGAAATTTTCTGCAAGAAAACAAAGAAGCTCAGAGAGCACCAAGGATTCCACAGAATTAAGTGAGCATGGCGTGTCAACAAAATGGCTCCCGCTGTGAGCATGGCTGGGCACATGGGGGATTAATGGGGCCCATGTGGGACCCAGAAGTTGTGTATAGACTTGTATATAGAATTCTTGAAACAGCATGGAGTTCTTGAAATAAATTACCATAATCCCAGCTAATCTGTTGTAATTTAACCCAGAAATTGTTGGGTAAATCTATATGTACTGTAACATTATTTTGAAACAAGATTTTTTTTTTTAAAAAAAAATCACCACTTGCTAAGTTTTGCTTGCCCTTTAAATCCTCTCTGTCTGCCTGTCTCCCTCCTCCAGTCATTACACCCTCAGACTGTCTACTCTTTATTTCCTGCCTGCATAATATACTGTAAATAGAACCCTCAAATTTTCCAAGATGTTGGCACTTGCTAATGTCTTCCACATGGCACTAAGCTAAAAGTGATACACTTGCCCATTCCAACCTGGCTCTAAATTTTGTGGAGCAAAAACTGTTTCCTAGAAACAAAAGCAGCACAAAGTATAAAAGCCATAGCAGATGTGCCACAGGAGATTCAAATTGTGTCCATTAAGTAAGCCTTCCCAAAATAGCCATTTTGTTCCATTTCTATCTTGCCCTTGTTCCGTTAACATCAGGGAATATTTCCCTTTAGATTTTATTCAACATCACTGCGTCACTTTTTTTTCCTCATGTCCTCCCCTCGCAGTAATGGGGGATGGTTAAATTGAACTATACAATTTCTATCTCATTCATAGTAGCTTGCAGGTAGGTAGCTATTAAACTGAGGAAATAATACAGGAGAAAGGCCAAGCACTTCTTACTCTAACATCTCAGGGATCTCTCCTACCTCTGTTTGTTGACACTAGTGCTTATCTTGAATTTTAAAGTCAAGATATAGCTGCCCTATTTTTAACTAAATGGTTGCAGGGCGGGGGGCTGTTCTGGATTATGACAAGAAAAACTAAGGTTCAAGTCATGCCATCCTTGAGTTCGTTAGCAGATCTTGGGTAACATTTAAGCAACCAGAGACAGATGTTCTCAGCTACAATTCCCTTGGATGTAGAGCCAATAATGATGGATGCAGGGAGTATTCTAGTAGTTAGCAACATCTGGAGTGCCACAGTTACTTCCTACTGAAAATAGCTGTGATCTTGTAACTATTCCTCAAAGCTCACAGAACAAGAAGAGGAAATGAGCAAATTAACAAGAAAGTTTATTTCCAGTTTAACATTATGTGCAAACCTAGCTTCTGTAATTCAACTGTGATTTAAAACTAATGCCTTAGTCAAAGAAAACTATGATTGCTTGGAGAAGCTGAGTGAAATAAGTGTTCTAAATAAGTAAAATGGAGGAAAAAACTAGAAATACTGCCCAAGTCTGAATGAGGAAGCACAATTCTGGATCCAGCCAATATTATTAGGTTAATCATAAGATCATTGTCTTTGGGAAACTTTCAAATTTACTAGCATTGTTCATCTATTTGAAAGTTAAACAAATAGGAGTGGGGAAAAATACCTGAACAACAATGAAATAACAACCTTTTGTTACAGTCTTTAATGAAACAAAGGAGGTGATAATTGACATTTTAATTAGGTTTTAATAGATGCTGGAAATGGTTCAGGTTATACAAAAGATTGCCCACTAAACTGCTTAAAATGAAGCAGAAAATAATCTCTCTTTTGAAATTATATTATCCAATTGTTGTTCAGATGTGGCCCATCAGCAAAAGATTCTTTACTAACATCTTGAAATGAAACATTATTCGTAATAAAAGAAAGGAGAAAAATAATATTTACTAAATTCAAACTTTTCCTCAGATACTATCTTTTTCTCTGCAGAATCTGCTTTTGGAAGAAGTCCTGAGCAGGAAAAAAAATAGTGGACAAGATCTGCACTAAATACCAAAGTCAAGAGCAGAGACACAAAGATATTTGTGGTAGCATATTTATGTGATTGCTTACCAATCCTACACAAACTTCTAATTCAGGTCTTTCCATGGTATTGTTTTTCATCATAGTAGTTTCAAATGTCAGTTCCCCAGACAGTGTGGCTGAGATACAACAGACTGTTTGTTTTGGGGTTGGCATGGTGTACTCATTGTAGATTAATGTACAGGTAATCCTGGCTAGTCAACATTGTGATGGACCTTCCCAGAGCTATTTACGACCCAGTTTCAAAATTCCCACAGCCACCTTAGGCATAGTTGATCACATTTTGGGTGCTTGGTTATCAGTCTGCATTTGTAGATATTTGTAGCATTCTACATTCACATAATTGCAATTTATCATATTTTTTGCAAGAAACCAATGTTTGCTTCTGGTTTCTGGAAAAAGATGCCCAGTGTAATGAGTTTATTTAATGATCATTGTGCTTGCTTAACAACACCCTATTTATTTTCTGATCAACCCTCCCCCACTAAAAAAAAGGATCATAAAATGACCAATGTAACATTCCAGACTCAATTATGGTCATATGTCCAAGACTAGTGGGCCACGAACCCTAAAAATTCTAACTTGTGGCAGTAAGTGAATGTAAGTAAAGCTCTTATTTTGTGGAAGAAATATCTCTAGCTGAAATTGAAAAATACATTTATGCTTTGTTGCAACCAGGTTTGGGGAAAACATTCCAACATAAACCAAGCAAAAGCTCATCAGATCTTCCATGAAAAAAAAAATCTTCCTCCTTAGCAGGTAATTTATAGAAGATTTTCATGTAGGCCCTAAAATGGTTTGTTTGATTTGTGTTTAGTGTAGTATATAAAACCAATTCCACTTGTAAACCATTATATGTGCTTTATAAGCTGTTTGAAAGCAGCCAAATGCAGTGTATTCAATTAACATGGATAAATAAATCATGACTTAGTACCCATTGATGGTAACCAGTCAGGACTTCTACTCCAGA